GCATTCTTTTCAAGATACCATTGTGCAAAAGCAATGCGAGGTACATAATCGCCCGGTTGAAGTGCCTGGATACGCTGCACGCGATACGGATGCATTCCGCTTTCTCTGAGAATCCTCCAGATGCTAGGACGGGAAACCCCGATCACGTGCCCTACACTTCGCGTACTCATACTTGGAATTCCGTGTATCTGATGTAGCACATTCTCTTCGATGTCCGGAGTCCGTGCTGATCGTGCTCGATTTATGGCAGCTTTTTGAAAGAAACCTGTTTCAGCCAACCTCCGGTGCAGGCTTGCAAAGAAATTATGGCTGGATGTACGCCTCATAGGATATCGTTTCGCGCACAAGCCACTAAAATCTGCATTTGGCGTCCATACGCCAAATGCATATCGACTAACTATGCATTAGTATAACTATTCATCCTACCAACTCTGCGTCCTTGGAAAAATGACAATTCCCTGCAAGAACTCTCGGAATTTTCGCCCAACGCCATCAATCACGTCAGAAAAGCATTTCAGACCCTACACTGCTATATGATTCTGAGTCGTTGGGGGGCACCCTAGGGGGGGCACCCTACCCCTCCTAAAAGTTCTGAAACGCTGTATTGAAACAGCCTGTATAAGTGCGCCTGTGCATGGTAATATTATTTAGTAATAAGATTTAATATTATTTAATAATAATAATAATAATAATAATAAAGAATGGGAAACACCATTTGTCAGGATGTTTATACATGGCTTGTTTCGAAAACTTCAGCCCCATTTCTTAAATTAATTCTGGAACTAGATATTGCGATGGACTTGACTTCAGCAACATTTAACTCCATAGGATGAAAAAAACTAACCTTGAAGCGAAAGTCCGAAGTAAGTGTAAGAAATCATTACCCTTCTCGCAAAAGTGAAACGAAACGCGCTATTCTATTCGTCTAAGCTTCCTGAAACATTAAACCAAGGCAGCTTGTAGGTTAAAATGTAGCATCGCAAAGACAGAACCAGGCAGTTTCAAGATCCAAACGCGCCTTTGCGACTTCCATTTCCTAAACTGGGCCTTATCTAACCTTCGTGATGAACGGACTCGAATGCGAGATGCGCGCGGTGGTGTCATCCTTGGATCTCCACCTATTTGGGCGATAGAATTAATTTAGCTTGGTGGCTTCAAAGGTTCATCGCCACTCCGAGCTTCCAGTTGAAGGACGAAATCTCGTTGTCTGTGGACACACCCTGATGACGAATGGTAGGGAGAATTTTTTCTATTAATATTTTATTTAAGCTGTGTAATCTTCAATGATACTTCAGTTTGGGTGCAGATAATGGTCGAATGCACATACGACGAAACATGGGTAAAAAGCTTCAAGATGCATATCTTCCTCGATGCAGTACAGAACCTTCACTTGGTTGTTAGGGTGTGGAGCTCCGCACCCAATGATTCTTGGATATTTTAAATGTTTATAATAGGCAATCTAACACGGAAAAGATAGGTAAGTGGTTATGCCCATTTTCATAGCTGCCAGCCAAAGTGGAGTGCCCTAGCTGTACAATGTGAGTACTCGCCAGCCGTGTGATTGCTGTTGCTCTGCAAAACGGTAGATGTTTTGCCTCGTTCGTCTAGATTACCGGAAATTTCTCCAATCAGCATGCGTAAGACTGTTTTGAGAACACACATCCGCTGTGTTCCATAATCACCAAGAAAAAGCTCTTGTCATCAAAGGCTTACAAGTTGAAGAAGGTTCACTGGTTGCACCACAGAGCTCCATTCGTACACTATTCCTCGAGCAATTAGTAAATGAATTGTTACTCATCATCATAATTTCGTCAATGTTCTTTTAAAATACTTTAGAATGTGCTTGAAGAAATATTTTTTTCAGAAATTTGTAGCTTTGTTTAGCTAATTATTTTACCTCTCCTATTTGCAATCTTCTTAATTTAGCATTCTCCTATAAATTTTCTTATTTGCAGAGTTTTTTAGATAGTCTTTTATAATAGTATTAAGTAGCTGTCGATTGCATTCTTCAACACAAGATTATAATCTAGAATTGATTGCATGAAAGTCCTTGTAACTTACTGGCAGCTTTTAAGATTTCGACTTAAACAAAAGCGTCATAAGTTAAAAATTAACTTTCGATCAAATTAGGTATAATATGAATCAATAAACATTAACAATATAGAAGAAAGTAAGGAGACATGCAATGCGAATACAAGATAAAGACAAAATATTGTTAAATTGATCATTTTAAAATCAAAGTAATGTTAAAAGAAATTGGTTCACTATTCAAGAAATAGACCAAATTATTCTTTCTTTAGATCGAAACAAAGCATTTGCACCTTGCAGAAGTATAAAAAGATCTTGCTTCAGTAAAGCTAGTGAGGTCTAAAAACGTTTTCTTGTGTGGGAAAATGGATTTTATATGCTATTGCAGCTTAAAACGTAGTTAAAAAATGGAATAGCATTGGAATTCGTCTTAACAAGAGTTCAGCATTTGGTAAAATTCGATTTTAACCAAAAATTCCGTTAATTCGATTTTATTCAAATGCTAAGAAGAACCACGCGTTCTATTTAATCATTAATGGTAATAAATCGATTAGAAATGTTTGTTTGCTGAGGAATTATTATAAGTGTAGAAAGATGAATATTTGGATAAACATTTTCTGACTCCAGATTTTAAGTATATGTTTAGTAAAAATAATGTTTGCTAATTTTAAATATGATAAGGGTATCTCCGCTCCGAACTCCAAGTTGAAGGACGAAATTTCATTATGTCGACACACCTGATTGCGAATAGTAAGGAGAATTCGTTTATTGTTATTTTGTTTAGGATGTATAGTCTTCCATGATGCTTGAACAATTATACACTAGCAGTCCGAACCCACTTGAAATTTTGGCGAGCAGGCTGACTTTATGAGAGTTTTTGTGGGTTTACCCCATTTGTAATGTGAATAAGAGCCAATTTTCTTTAAAATATTCTCCACGAAGACGCTCTTCTCTTAGGGAGAGAGATTTCGGGTGCTTTGCCAAAGTCTAAATAATAATAATACGATTAAAATCTTTTTGTTTCTGTTTTATTCAAATGCCACGAAACATGTATAGGTTATTGCTTAAAAGAAGGATTCTTCGTGCAGAACTTTCGAAAGGAATTTGTCTCTCATTCACATTACGATTGGAGATCCTTCTCATGCAACCATACTGTTCTCCGTGATTCGATTTCGCGTCAAACTACCAGTATTCAACGGTCTTAAGACAAAATAATTTTATGGTCTGACGAAACTTAGAATTATTTTGTCTTGTTAATCTGAATCGGAAAAAACCCAAGCTCTTTTGTCCTTTTTGAAACGTAATGGAACTTACGAGTAAAGTCCACCTCTGTCGTTTGTGGGTTACTTGGGCCGTTGTGTACTATGAGACAGCCTTGTACAGGTGAAGTACAGATCTTTTGAGATACTGATTTCGATCACTTATTAAATATTATTTTATCAGCTTTTGTATTTCTTGATGCTTCTAATTTTCTAATGTTCTTTGCCACTGAAAGAAAAGAAAGTAACTGAAAGAAAAGATTTTATGATTTGCTCCACTTATCTGAGGCACATTTTCTGGCAATTCAGCCTTGAAACTTATGCTTCCTTAAAATATTTCTTGCAGTTTATGGTCTGTAGATTTACCGAAGTAATTTTTGTCCAACTATAAGAGATAGTCTAATTCTGTTGTTATTGTAGATTAACCTGTTATTTTCATCACCAACTATTTCTTTCCTATGAATTGAAAGTCATTGGCAGTTAAACTCGAGCTTTACTTTCCTCGCAAACTGTTATAGGGCATTTGAAAATTATACTAAACGCCATGGATTTGCTAAATTCTAATGTTTCAATTAATTTCTTATTGCTATTACATTTTTTAGGGATCTAACAATCAGTTTTTTAAACCATTTTTAATTTCATACGCCTCTCAACTGAAGTTTTCTGTATCAAAATGAAAATTATAGTGTTATTGTAACCCTGAATTTTAATGTTTCACTCGGATACATGCGTACACATTTTTTCATCTGAGGCAAAAGGGTAAATTCGCGCCCCTTTATATATTGAAAATTTTAAAGAAAGAAAGAAAAAAAAAAAAAAAAAAAAAAAAAAAAAAACTGAAAGGTTTCAGATTTTAAATTACGTCCAAAGGCGAGCTTTTTAACGTTTTGTGTGTTACATTTATTTATTAAATATCATGTTCTTCGCACGTAAACCATAAAATTCAGTTCAACAGCAATATCTCAAAATAATTTTAAAAGTGAACATATCTTTAACATTTCCGACACACAGTTCCGCGCGCTGCAGATAAAGATTTCTTTTTCCCATACAGTGTTGCCATTGCTCGCTTTTAAAAATTTTTGTTAATCAAAAATTCGTTAAATTTTACAAAATATGAAATAGATAATAAAACAAATTCCTAATTCCAAATTTGGGTTTCAGATGCCCATATTCGGGTGGAAACGTACGTTACTCAAAATTGGATGGCTCTAGGTACTGTTGATTTATCGCAATGCGAGAAACATACATACATTTATACAGATTCTTCACTATTTAATTTCTTTAAATATAATATAGGGTGGTTATATTTGCTGGCAACAATTTGAAAAGTGAATCGGACATATATAGTGAACCAACGCATTTTGCCAAAGCGAAAATAATAGTCCTTCAAGGCAAATTGCCCCTTCGGACTAAAAAAATATAATATAATATAAAGCTTGTAGGGTTTATATTTATTTTAACTAACATTTATTTTAAGTTTAAACTATCTTTCCTGTCAAGCCTTACTTTCCCCTGGAACTGCCAATGCCAGAATATGTAAATTTTAGTAGAACGCGCAAGGATTCAAATTATCAGCGGAAGTATTCTGATTTAAATAGAAGGGAAACGAGTTCGGTGTATGATATTCTTACTTCACGAGCGCGGAGGTAGTTAGCGAGAAATTGAAGAACCCCGCGTTTCGGCCTATGTGCTTGCCGGGAAGTAGTGTTAATCGTTCAAGTGAGCTTCAAGTCTGCTGAATTAGCAGCGGTATTGTAAAACGCGGTGAGTTAGTTATTTCTAGAGAGCCTCGTAGTTAGAGTCTTGTCTTTAGTTTCTTTTCAGGTTATTATTTTTATTTGACCGCCGAGTTGGCGTAGTCTGTGAGCGTCAAGAGCACGCAATTGTAATTTTTACGTTGAATAAAAAGGGACTTAAACCCTTCACAAGACTCTGTATTTTATCCAGTTTTCACAGTCACCTCTTGGTTGCGTGCAAGTTGGAGGCGCGCAACGTTACAAGCTGAGAAATTCAAATGTTATATCTTATTAAAGTTAAAATAAGATGCTATTTGTTATTTTATTAAGTGGTAATTTAAAAAAAAAAACTTTGAAATGTTTCAATTTTTACAATCGTCTAACTATAATTCAGAAGCGTGGCTCTGTTTAAAGTTCTTAGGCTGCACCTTGAAAATGACAAAAGAAGTTTGAAAAGTTTTTATATTCTACATTAATTTTATTAACTTTATTGAACTGTTTTTGTTTCAGTTTTGAAATGATTATGTTTTTGTTTTAATTTTGATATAAGTATTTCATGTTAAACGGTTGCTGCCTTTCCTGGTATAATTTTGATTTAATTATAATCTCTTTATACATATATATATATATATATATATAAGATCTAGTAGTAGTCGAGGCTGTGTCTTGTACATAATTAATGATACCTCAAATTAATCCTTTTGCTTTATTTACAGGTTATGTACACTATTTACAATATATTACGTAATTAGGCTAGAATTATTGATTTTATCACTCACTCTACTGAACATTCGGCTTCTCTCGCCAGTGCTTTTTCAGGCTAGTTTAGTCTATGCATCATGAACTTAATTTCTTTAGTTTCAATAACAAATTTTAACACCAGAAACACTTATATATGGCATTGTGAAACCTCAGCAAGTTCGAGGATAAATTAATGCTATTAATTCTTCTCTTAATTCAGTTGGATTGTGTGTAACATAAAATGTTTTTTGATACTTCGTGAAGTGTTCAAGAATTGAAACTTAGCTATCATGATTTAATTTTTAAAATGAATTTCTAAATTATCGTAGCAAATTTGGCGCCCCTTTTAGTTGTTCACCTGAGGCAAATGAATCATCTGAGGCAAGTGAGGCACTCATACTTGTCCTGGTTCCAGTTGTTAATAAATATTATTCAATCTATAGTAATTTTACCAGTAAGTATTTGATTTATTTTCTCCTTTAAAGCTTAAAGTGAAATGATACTATAGTTACTTTCTACATGTTGCATATATATTTATAATGTTATGCATTTATTTATAATGATATAGTACATTTATTTATAATGATACAGTATATTTATTTATAATGATATAGTTACTGCAAATTTACAAATTTCTATTTTAATTATCTGCAAATGAAATTCCTCCCACTTTTTGCAGTAGTATTATGATACCAGGATTTCGTACTTCTCGTTGTTATGAAGTCTAAATACCTTCTTGATTGAGTGTATACTGAACCATTGAATTTATACCTTGGCAAAAGAAGCTTCTTTCACTGCGCTTGGCGCTCTGAATGGCGCCAATTTGGCAGTCTGTATGATGCGCTACCTGCTAGAGAGCGATCGGAGAGTGGAGGAGGAAGAAGTATAATCTTATCTTTTAGCATCAAAATTATTTTACTGAAACCCTTCGTCATGTGATCGTTTACTTTATACCATTGTCATGCAAATGTATGTTTTTCATCGGCATTATTTTTTTCTTCTTTTCATTTTCCTCTATTTTGACTTGTGGGAGAGTTTTGCTGATGAAGTCCCTGCTCAAAGTGAGTATTTCACCTTTACTGAACCTCACTTTTTTTGGTAACTTTTAAAGAATTAACTATACATTAGTAAAGGTCAAAAGGAGAAAATTTTACTTAATTATTTTAAAAATGTTTCTTGCATGTTTCTTACTTCACGAGAGCATTTTAAGACTTAATAATCCTTAGTAATCGATTTGTGGGAAACTGCATGTTTTGTTTAAGAGCAATGCAGCAAAACTACCTTTCAGGGATAGACGGTAATTCGTTATCTTATTTTAAAAAATATGTACAAAAATATTACTAGTCAGTTCAATATTTAAAAAATGAAGTTTTGTATGAGATATTGTAATTAAATTTGAAATGTTGAGCAATACTTTTTTCTGATGTGACAGAAAAGTTACGAGAATTTTGGTTAGGGATGAAATACATATATTGTCCGAGATAAATATTTTCTCATATACATTAACAACATACATTAACAACCACTTTCTCTTAACAGAACTCCACGAAGATATCCCTTCCATTAGGTGGAGAACTCTCGAGTGTTTTGCTTTAATTAATTCAATGAACTAAGTAATTTGAATAAAATATTTAGTGTTCTGATAAATAAAAACTTTCCTTAGAACTTAAACGTTTTACAAGCAACGAATAAAATACCTAATTAATGGGAAATATTGAAAACGTTAAGAAGAATGGTATACCAAAAGTGTAATAATGAAACAGTTTTTTGAAAGTATTTGTTAAACATTTATCTGCTTGTGGTTGGCAGGTTAATTTGTGTCACTCTTAATATTTTCATTCAGAATAATGATTTAAAGAATCTTTCATTGACTTAAAAACTTAAGGTATAGCTTAAACAATTTTCAAAATAATCATTTATCATTGAGTTTGATCACCAGATAAAGTTACATTTTCGATTTATTGTTAGTAATATAGTAAAACATTTATCTTCTCTTTAATCTTCTTTAGGTCAAACAGACGCCTTTTAATACATTTAAAATGAAATCTACGCCTTTTAAGTGTATAAAAAATAAAATTAAACTGCGCTTAAAGGGAAATTAATACAGGATAAATAGAAATAGATACATAATAAATAGAGATAGCATTTTGATAAATGCTATCTCTATTCATTTCATCTTAATTTATCATTCTTTAATTCAGAAGAAATGTTTGGTTTATTGTACTACGGTCAGCTTTTAACATTCGAAAATTAAATATTATATCATATTAGATGATATTTTGCAATTTAGAAGAGCTGTTTACTTCTCATGTTGTTTAATTAAGGCTACATTTCACATTTCACAATAGTTAATTTTAATGTTTTGACCTTTTTTAATGTTTCTAAAATGTGAAAAAGTTATTTTTGCTTTTATGTGACGACTGTTATTAAAAAATCACATATTTAATCTGCCAAAGCATTTCGTTTGCTTTTCCTTTTTGCTTACTTGCTTCTAAAACAGTTAGAAGTACGGACTAAAATGCTAATAGCATTGACACTTGAAAAGGGGAAATTTCCACCTAGACAATCACATAGATGCATTTTCTAGGGAAATTGCGCAGCGTTTATATTGCGTATGAAGTAAGTAGTGGAAGCTACATCTTCACTTATTAAGAATAGAACTTAGGACGAACTGCCTTTGCTGTCATGTCCACTTACTTCAATCTTCCCAATATTTAGTGGTAAATGAGTACCTTCCCGAGAAAAATTTATTTTTCTCTTGATAAAACTTTTATATGATATTAAACAATTATTAAACAATTAAGCGTTATGCAGATACATAAAAGATGTCAGAAAAAAGAGAGCTTTAGAGAAATATGCACCAATTCCTTATATTTGATCGAACATTGAGTTATGCTATATGCAGTTATAGACTTTTTGCTGTTTTGGCTTTAGTAAATACATTAATAATTAAGTTTGAAAGTGTGTTAGATCACTGAATAGTATTTTGTAAAACTTGTATGGAATTGTTCAAAGTTTTTAACGCTGTGGCAGCTATATTTGTACCTTTATTTCCAGATTTAATTTTTTAAGTTATCAGTATACACTGTGGAACTTTGAGAAGGTACAGCGCTCTTCTTAAAGTTATTAATAACAAAGTTTGATATATTTCACACTAATGATGCTTTGTATTTTTTATAGAATAAAAAAAGCAGTTAAGGAACAGTGAAGCGAATAGTTTGAAAGAATGTGTCAAAGTGTGTGTATGGATATAAAGTTTGAGAATTTTTTTTCATTTCATAGCACTTTATGGTTTTTATTCTTATCAACATCGAATGCCGCTGGTGCCAGAAAAGAATGAATGAACATGAGTGAAAAGTAGTATTTATAGATGATTATAGAGTTGAATGTATTACTTCGTTTTCTTTATTTTCTTAAATTATAAGAACATCAGAACTGGTCCAGCAGTGGTCGAGTGAATAACACGGTTGAACACTCATTTTGAATGTTAGTGAATGCATGGGTACATGAGAAGTTTCATGGCCTTTTTTTTATCTCTCATAGATAAAATGAATATGAAATAGTTTTTTTCAGAAAGTCATCCATTAAAGTCTCCGTTCCCTACGGTAAACAGCATTCGCATGCTTTGCGTAGCTAATTAATCCCTTCTAAAATTGCAAGTTTTTCTCGTGAAAACGATTTTATGTTCATTTTCCATTTAATCTGATCGTTTAAAACCTATAACGGCTATTAAAATGCATCATTAGGTTTTATTTCAGTTCTTAAACGTATCATCTGCCTACCATTTTTTGTAAAACTATTCAGCTCTGCTCTGATTTTAGAATTAATGAATTCATTTATCCAAAAGAAATATTTACAAATGGTTTCTAAGCAATAGAAAAAGCTCAGGTTTGTATTTTTCATTTATCTATGAACTACTGTTTTGAAGAATATTCCATGTTACTCATAAAAAAATAGGGAAAGACCTTTCCCCACTTGCGAGTTTCCATAAGTACTCTATAATATTTTTATGACCTAGATTAAATTTAATGATGTTGGAAAGGAATGAAAATATATTTGGAGAATTTTCACAGTTCTTATCTCCCATTTAGTTCTTCACAACTTGCGACATGTCATGCAGTATTGGTATGCTAAATTATTGTGACAAAACTTCCCAAAGTTAACTGTATAAGGTGAATAGATAAATTTTTGGTAGGTTTTGTAAGGAAAGTATCCCATATGGGAGAAGCGCGAAACATTTTATGCAACCAGCTTAACCAGGAATTGGGAAATAGGCCAGGATGAAATATTAGGATTTCTGTTTGATTAGTTGTCCACTAGTGTGCTACATACTACAAGAATTACTTTATTTCTTCATAATGATGCTGAATTTCCCAGAAGAGTAAGCATTGAGTGATTAGTGCTAATAAAGAAATCGAAATAAGGAAAACCTGTTTAGACTTATCTACAAATAAAATAAAACAAAATGTCTTAATAACTCCATACTTAATAATGACTAAATTAACTGTGAATAATGCACTCTCATCAGTAAAACTACTAGTAAATTATTGACCGCAATTTTGAAAAATATGCTATAGAGCTCATAACAGCGTTTGATAGCATGAACTATTTGACTTACGGCATGAGGATCAGCCAATAATGGATGTTCAATCTATCTCCATTAATTTTATCGACATGAATACTTTATTAGGTGTATAATAATTTCCTTTAGTATGTGCCGTGTAGTGATTTTCAGTTCTTGTTGGTAGCGTGCAATCGTTATCGATTGGTTTCTAAGCTAAATTCTTAACTATGGCGCCATTTTATGCGGCAAAATTGTTGTCGCTTTGAAACCTGTAAGTTGTTCTTCGTTTTCTTGTAGTTTGTGAAATAATTTAAGCATTGCATATTTTCAAAATTAGCTATAATAAGATAGTAGCCATTTTTGGTTTATGGCCATGTAATAGAAAATGCGATTACGTGCATGGCTGGATTTGTGCGAAGACTAAATACATTAAAGTTTATATATTAAATTATATATTTTGTTTAGATACCTTAATCACTGTCTTTTGAATTACCGGTGAGCGTGCTTTACTCAAGGAGATGTCTCAACGGGCTTGAGACCTACAAAGTCCTAAGTCTTTACCTCACAAGGAATATGACTGAGATTCGATTCCGCGATAGGACCTACGAACAATGCAATAAAATCTTTTCATTTTATTTTGCAATGCAAATTATTTAAAATTAAATTAAATGAAACAGGAATGCTTTATAAAAATGGCTTTGGCAGGATTATAAATTATACGGACTTAAATAATTACAAAGTTATGAAGATTATTGTCGATGTGTTTGTAATTCAGATTTATTTAATGGTGGCAGTGTTTCTTTTCCCTCTTTTTAAGTTTGTTTTAGGTAAGTTATGCAATAAGTCCTGGTTTAGATTTATTTCTCAGAGATAAAAAGTTCACGAAGAATAGCAAACAAAGCCAAACTTCCTTGCCAATGAATTTTTTTCATTAAAATATTAAACGGACTGACTTCGATTTTTTCTAGTTAATTTTTTTTACATTCATTTGTTCGTGATATACTGAGAGACATTTTTGAAATAAAACACACATAAAAAGTAAGATTTATATGGTTATTATGGTATTTGAAAACTGTGGGCCTCATATATGTTTCATTTTCATTCTGTTCAGAGAAAAATAATAGGACAGCTTCTTTAAGAAAAGTTTCGATAAATAAAATACTATTTTAAAATATAAACTTTTTTAGTATGACCTGCTTCCTATCTAGTTATAGGGGTTAGTCCCTAAAAAGAGAAATTTCTTGAAGTTCTGATATGCAAACTAGACTCCTTTGTATCCCATAACTCTTTCAAAGTATAAAATACCATTATTTGCTTTTATATAGGATAATTACGGCCATCAAATTCTCAAAACATTCCTTTCAATACTTTATAAAGCACATCAAACAGAACAATTGCATAAATGCGTTTAGTTATAATACAGTAAAACTACCATAGTGATAAAAATAAATTTCCGTATGTTTCTTGCAACTGAAAAAAATAGGCAAACGTTTATAA